GACTTAAAACTCGTTGCAATTTGTGTTTATGTATACAATAAGGGTATGTGTGAAACATTAAATTAATGGATAATATGTCTTATCAATGTTTTACAAAAACCTATGTTTTTCTTATAGACACCCATTTGTCTTAATCTTAAAAGTCAATCAATTTGAACACATAATACAACCATGTGTTTACATAACACACTATCTAGCCTAATACTAATTATACAAATTAATAATTTTACTTATCTTATTACTTTAATGGCAACTAATTTATTAGTTTATTAATTTATTAGTTAATAAGTTATGCGTTAATAACTTAACATTTATGAAAAATTAAATTAAACATTAACTAATTTTTGCGATATACTTTTATTTAATAATTCAATAACATTTTCTTACAATTTTATTCATGTTTATGGATTTCGCAAAACGAAAATTAAATTTAAAGTTTTATATTTAATACATCAAAATTGTATCAAAGTATAAATAAGATTACTTTAATATTGTTAGTACAGATCTACGGAATATAAGCTCAAGCTAACACTTTATGATATGAAATACATTTTTCACACTTTTATAACTACATTTTACGCTAGAATTTACTTCAAATACCAATAAACTATTTCAGAAAAATGTGTCAATCGTTGCGACTTTTGGCAAATTATTAACAAAAATGTTTTATTATCTAAGAAGAAGTGTGTGTAAGAGAGAGAGAGAGAGAGAGAGAGAGAGAGAGAGAGACCATTTGAAGTGAAATTTATTAGTTATATTACATTAGATTCTACGACAGAATAAATCTGGTGTTCATTAAATAAATAATTGTCTGAACACACTATCCCTACACTCCCTATACTGCATGATTAGTATGCCTTTAGGGCACTAATACTATAACACGACTGCAATATAATACTCATCCCATGTATTAGTGGCTCATAACAAGAATGAGTTCATGATTTTGATTCGTTTATTAAATGAATGCCTAATTCGTTGTCGAGCTATAAACGGATTGTCACCAAAAATATATTTATATTTATCACTATATTTATAGCGATATTCTGGTCTCCAATAGTTTTCAATATAAATATATTGTAAATAACGAGTATATTTCGGTCATATTTAGCATTTAGTACACGGGAATGGCATATAAAAGCCAGAATCCACGTCATACCCAGAGTACCAGTGCTCTCCAAATATGGGATTCATTAAAATTTATCTGCAAAACAAGCTTTTGAAATGTCACCGAATATATAATATATAGATATTCTTATCATTAAATTTGTTTTCAATGTTTGCTTTTTCAGTGGATTCCGTTCACTAAACAAATCCCTCAGAAATTCAATTAAAAATGTAAATACAGTTTTTGAAATGTTTTCACAAAAAACACATATATCTACAAAAGTACATACAATCACAGAAAATCATTAAAAAATTCCGAGAATTCTTGATTTATTAATATAATGATTTATATACCTCTTATTATAGTGGCATTAAAATAAATATAATTTTAATTTAGTTTTCAACCACTTTTATGTTTAACACGTTTTGTTGGGCTGTCTTTAAGGACATCGTCGGCAGCAAAAAAAATTAATTAAAAATATTTTACTCTTCTTTGTATTTTCATTATAACACTCGACTGGATATGTAATGAGAGAATGAAAAGAGAATTTTTTAATCAAAAGGAGTGATTCAAAAATTGTGTGAAAAAAAAATATATATTTCGATATAACGTTTTGCACTGATTTTTGCCACTTATTTAGTATTGATCTCTCTCTCTCTCTCTCTCTCTCTCTCTCTCTCTCTTCTTAATTCTCTATAGAAATCCAATTCTAGCGAAGATTTTCCTTTTGAGATAAGAACCTCTGGAAATGTATATAAAAGTTTTAAAATAATAAAAAAGACGAAATTCTTACGAAAAATCTTTATAGAAAAAAGTAGACGAGAATTCATTATAAATTTATTGATTTTCAAAAATAAGATCAACTCTTAAATCTCTCTTCACATTTTACTTTATCTAATGTCTTGAGCTTTAATTCTTGAATCTAATCATTTGTTCGGAAACTTAAACATTAAAAGTATTACCAGAATATTCTTGTCTTTTTAGTGAACATCAATGGCTTGTAAGCAATGCATCATTACATCCAATCTAATCACACGAATACATGTTCACTGAAAGCTAGTTGTAGTTCACTTGATAACCCGATAAAATATTAACTATTTTCAATATTTAAAGGCGAATAATGTGATAAATTATGACATTATTGAATATTTAATAATAATGCATTATTGAAATGTTGTATAATATTATATCTGGAATATTAATTTAAAATATTTTAGCTGAAAATAAAATTTTTGAATTTTAAATATATTAATAAAAATTATTATCACTTTTGAAAACTGACTCACAAATTTGATTTTAATATATTTGTTAGAATATAAATTTTAAATCTTTAAATTAAAACATTGGATGAAATCTATAACAAATTATCATTGAATCTGTTTAACCAGATATTTTATTATATACTGTAAACTAATGAATAATAAAAATCTGAAAATGCATTACGAAATATAAATATATTGGCAATTATTTTAATTAATGAGTGCTATAATAATATGGCAAAGTTTATTATGTCAATCATTAGTTTAATATTATGTACAAGTTTTATGAATTAGTGTCGGAATATTTACTGAAAATACTTCATAAATATATATATAATTAATTAAATTATCTCTTTATTATACAATCATAATATATGTATTTGAAGTTCAAGATTTCAAAATATTTTTATTTTTTGTTTAAGTGCTATTTTAGATTTTGTAAAATAAAAATATTTTTCATTTTTAATTAGCTTTTATATAATTAATAAATATTGTAATTGAAAACTAAAAGTAGGATAATATTTTATCTTATAGCATAAATTAAATGTATTTTTCATTGGTAAATTTGTATTATTGCAAATATATCACTCAATAAAATCTTATATAAAATCTTATTCTACTTATAGCTAACATAACTATACATTGAAATTCAAATAACATAACAGAATTTGATTGCAATTTAAATTGAGTATGATGTTGCTCAAATATTGGGTTTCATATCACATTCACTAGAGATTCTCACAATTGAAAGACATTTATCGATCAGTAAACTAGAAATGAACACAAAAACAAAAATAATATGAATGAATAATTTTGGTGAAGCACTTGTCGTTTTGAAGTGTTTATTTAAAATATGACACAAAATATATTCATGGATTTGATAGTATAATATTAGATCGTTTCTATTGAATAGTAGCCAAACAAATGGCATGAATGTGTGTTTTGACACATACTTTCTCACATATATCACAAGTTTTGTTTATAAACAAAGTGCTGTCAAAATTTTATATAAATTCCGCACAATATATGTTATAATAAAATCATGGTTACACTGATTTATTAGAAATTCTTTAATTGCATAAATATTATAATTAAATACATATAAATATTATCGCGTGAAAAACACGAGCAATGACAACTTTATTGGCAATCCTATAAATAATTCAATTAAACATTAAAGTGTAAAATGTTTGTGCAATTCATGTTAATGTCTAACCTTTAAGAAAATTGCATTTACTATAAGTGTTACTGTAATTGGATTTAATTCTTAATGAAATTTAGTTACAAACAGAATATATCTTTTCGTGAAGACTATCGTAAGAAATAAAAAGTGAAACAAAATAAAGGAAATAAAAAATAAAACGTTTTAATGAATATAAAATAGCGATTTCCTCAAAACCTTTTTGTGTCGATTATATAATTTATTACAAACGGTGTTATATTACACGAAAGTTACTTCAAAATAGACAAAAGTAGGCGAAATGGGAAAACAAAAAATTTTAAAACAAAACTTTCATTTATAACTTTCTCTATAATTAAAATAAATGACATTTAATAAAGTGTTTGCGAATGACTTGTTATTGTTTAACACCAAAACAAAACTAAATAAATAAATGTTTTCTTAAGTTTTTGGATTAAAAACTAACTTATTATTTGTTGCCTGTGTATAGGAATAGACTGACCACGCTCAAATTACATAATAATAAGCAACTTTGTAATAAAGGATTTTTCATAGTTTCAAAAAATCCTTCAAAAAGTGCATTAAATTGTTGAGCGCCTGTAGTGTACGGACGGGTAGTGTCTGGGTCTGTGGTGTTGGTGCGAATCGGATGGATGTTATGTCTCTATGGAGATGCGCATCACTGATAGGACCAGCGATAGAGTCGAGTCAATGGGAACGGGAGATGAGGAGTGAGAGCAGCCTTTCCACCGACTCTACCATTCAATCGCTGGCATAGTATCGCACGAATCGTATCGCAATCACAGCCTCACCACTGGTTTCACTCACTCTCTCTGAGCCATCAAAAAACAAGTCTATATATTATGATCGTATGAATCGAGTGTTCAGTGGTTTATGAAAAGAAAAACTTTTTTCTGTCGTGTATTTCATCTCCACTTTTGGCAAACAATTGTCACAACATTTGTTTGTGTCGTTCGGGGACTCCAAACGCCCTGAGCTTATAAGCACCGGTGGTTTATAGCGATAGTGAACGCACCAGATGTGTGTATATTCATGAGATATTGACTTGAAAATTGATTTTAATATACCGTGTTTTAGATGTGTTTTAGAGCTGACATTGCATAAAAGTTTTTGACAACATTTTTAACGTGTTTTTCGAGTGAGAAAAGTTGTATTTCTTTTTTTGTATTGTATTCAGCGTTTGAATCCCGATATAAAGGACTCCGAAATAAGAGATAGAAAAGCGAAAAAACAAATATTCATATCTTTTTGACACAATTTTCTCATTAGTATTATTATACTTAATGTAATTACGATCTGTTTCTCCCAATTGTGTCGGTCCTCACAAACACCGACACAGTTTCAAAGACTTCGACTCCGAAAGTGCAGCGAAAAGTATATTAACTTTTGGTGATAAACAAGAATTAGTTGAGAATCACAAGAATAAGAGTGAAACAGAAAAAAGTATATAAAATAGACGACAAAATGCATTATTCGTGTTATTCTCGCGTCACTTAATAATAATAATTATTTGTATACAACGTCTTAACGAATGGTAAGTATTTTTTCCTTTTCTAAACCCAAACCTATGGCTTTGAAACCAATACCCAATACCTACTGTTAAATTAAATACGAGAGTTAACACTAAAAACTTCTAGAATTCCTACTCCTTTACCACTCCAGCTCTCTCTCTCTCTCTCTCTCTCTTCAGACAATTATTTATTTAATGAACACCAGATTTATTCTGTCGTAGAATCTAATGTAATATAACTAATAAATTTCACTTCAAATGGTCTCTCTCTCTCTCTCTCTCCACTGTTTAACTTCACATTTCATTTATTATTTGGCGTCCCTTTCCACTATAATTACAGTTCAAAAACAAAAACTATAAGAGAAATACAATTACAGTACACTGTTTTGGACTTAAAATATAAATCGACACAAAAAGCACAGAATATATCGGCGATTGAATTGCAATCAACACAACCGACAGAATCGTATGACTCGTCAAATGGATTGATAGCCAAAAACTTAAGTAATTCATCGCAAGAATCTGTTTATCATTTAAAACGGTTATCGAAAACACAGTGAAAAATGGATCCACTGTTTGAAACGACTGCACATAACAGCGACTTTCGGCGACTACTCATTGAGTACATGAACGCCAATAACATTAGCGCTAACATCAGTCTCGAGATGTTGAAGAATATCACTGATGGGGAACTGGAGGCGTCCGACGAGTACTTGTCGTCCATGAAATCGTTGAAAGTATTCTTCTATTGTGTATATATACTCATATTTGTGTTGGGCATCGCTGGCAACGCACTGGTATGCTATGTGGTGATCCGCAACTCGACGATGCATACGGTCACCAATATGTTCATCACGAATCTGGCCCTTTCCGACGTACTCCTGTGCCTATTTGCCGTCCCCTTCACACCCTTATACCTGTTGACGTATAAGGAATGGGTGTTCGGCACAGCCCTCTGTCATTTGGTGCCCTTCGTACAAGGTTTGTATATTTTAGACATCTTTATATGAATTATATGCGATTTATAGCGATAAATGTGAGCTAATTATTCTTTACCGTATCTTAACCTCTATGTTATAATGAATTCTCAGTATATTGTAGTATATTGTGGTTTATTTATTATTAATAGGCAGCAACATATGAGACTAAATATTGACAAATATCAATGTGCTATAAAGTGATGATTTTTTTATTCCTGAGGTTTATTTACTATAAAAAGTGTTTTATTATTAATAAATTTTGTTTGTGATGTATGTTACATACAGTATGTTTCATTCAAAGCGCGATATGTTTTTAATTTAAAAAATTTATTATATTTTAAATGTTTTCATTTTTCAATACTGTTCATTGAAAGGTTTTACAAGATTTTATCGGGTTTTTGATTTAGCCCTTTATAAATAAAATATTTGTATAGACTTTTGATTTATATTTCAAATACACTTTTATGTTTTCACTGGCAAAATTGTCAAATATTTCATATTTGATAAATAAATAATTATTGCAAAATTGTCTGTTTATACAGTTTCAAAATTGATGTCAATATTTTGTGTGTGTATATTTTTTATATTTATATTTTGTATTTATATATTTTTTATATTACATTTTTTAATCAATGATTTAAATACGATGTCAAACAAATTCATAAGCATTTTCATGACATCTAAGAAATAATTTTCACAACAAATTGTATTCAAATACATTTCAAAGGAATTCATAGTTTTTAAACAAATAATATACAATTTTGTTGAGAGTTTTATTTATAAAAAAAATATATTTTATTTTCTCTTTTCAATTCAAATGTTTGTTTTGATTATAACATTAACCAATAAATACTTTTGAGTTAAATATTTATTTTAAAAAAGAGTTTTAAAGTCGAGAGAAATTTTTTGTTGATAAGAAAACACATACTTTTCTCTGACATACACTTTTTAAAAGAGCCAAATATTTTTGTATTTATTTTATATATTTCTGTATAAATAAATACCGAGACAAAATAGGTTTTAGTTTTTTTTATCTCTTTTCTAATTTAAAATCAAAATATTTGCGTGAATTGAATGATACACAAGGAATTAATGGCAAATAAAAATGTCTTTTATTTCACTTTTATGCACCAAAACTATTCAATGAAAATGTAGAAAAGTAAAAAATATTTACTTTTTATTGTGTATGAAAATCAATTATCAATATATTGTTCAATGGAAAGGCACTAAATATTTTAGACAAAACCTTTGACAAAATATTTATGAGTTTACCGACAAATCCTTAGTTTTTATGCAACTTTCGATAGCTTTCGTAAACATTTTCAACACATTTATTCTGTCGTCGAAAATATTCTTTCATCGGATCATTAAAAGCGTGAAAAACTAAATATATTTCAGAATATTTATTAACAGAATATTCCGAATAAAATAGAAATTCCTCTTTTTATTCGTAATATAAATAATGTTTTTATATATTTTAAGTGCAAATGTGTCCTTAAAGCGAGAGAAAACCTTTAATATAATACTTTGAGAATAACGTTATATACGACTAGAATAGGATATTTATACTTTTAAAAAAATTGCCAAATTTATTCGTTGCTTAAATTTCAGACATTTTAATGTTTATTCTTTGTTTTTATCAATACTTTTATTTTGCTTAAAAAGCATTTGAATAATTTATAGCAACTTTTCTCTCCTTTCAACGCAATGGTGTTATTTTTTTGGTATAAATACTGACTTTATTATTCATTTATTAGTTATTTTTATTTCTGCGTTACATTATTCTCAAGTGTTTTGTTTTACATTGTATTCGTAGACAAATATTATTATTTTCTAGTATTTATTTATTTAATATTTTATAAAGTCCTAGAAAATCTCATTTTGCTACCTATGAAAGTCACTGCTCAGTGATACACAGAATATATACAGAATATTCTTGTGTAAAATTATTAACTCCTTCACGAGTTATTTATAATAACAAGACTATTGCCTCATATATGGTGTATTGTTTTTGTAATGTTGTATTCATAATGGCTTTATCACAAACATTTTGCTTATAATTAATAATCGCCAAACTTTTGTAACTAAATACTTTTTAAAACAGTATATTTTTAATGAATTGTCAAAAATGACAATTAATTATCGCAAGACTAGTGTCCAGTTTGTATGGCCATTAGAAACCCTTTTATCGTAATTGATATTAAAATGTGTGCATCCATTGAGATAATAAATTATTTTATATTAAAGTGAATCCAATATTATTTCTACAAAAATAGCTACACTTTAATGTGCAATAAAAGTGCATATATTTTGTAAAAATGAATTAGCTATTACATTATACTGATATTTATAGACTTTACACTTGAAAGTCTAATATAACTTTATACCATAAAATTATTGCCGTTATTACAGCAAATCTTATGCATAATTTCGGCACAAATTTCTTTAAGCTTTAGTTATTTTTCAACAAAAAAATAAAATCACATATTTGACTAACTATTAAGTGACATGGTAAAACTAAATTGCCAAAAAATTAAAAAATCCATTTGTGAAATAATTCAATTTGAAATCTGTTGATAACAAGACCCTGGTATATGTGAAAGCACTTTTTCCATTATACAATTCATTGGGGAGCCGTGTAGACCATTACATACGGGGAGAGCACTTACATGTCATAAGACTTCACATCAAAATCAAAGTTATATTTTATTTTCGGAACGCTTTCGAGAATTGCAAATAGAAAGCCATTTATTTTCCATTTAGTTTTTATTTTTCATGTCTAATAATTATTTTATATATTTTATTTATGTTTTGTGCACTTATTTAGTAGCGCAAACAGGCATATACAGTGTACACCCGGTACCGAGGATATATACTCAATGGTTTTCAATTTGATTTCATTTAAGATTTTCTGCTAATTAAGCCTTTTATTTATATTAATGAGCATATTATAGGTTTGATTACAATTGATATGTTTGGATGTATGTAATTGCCATTAATTAATTTCAATATAGAGTATGTTTTTTTTGAAAAACCAAAAAATATTTTGCTTTTAATCTGATCGGCAAATTTGAGATAAACGAAATTAATTAGTTTTATAAAAGCATTAGAATATTCTGGTGTTTGTAATGAATATTCTGAAAACATTTCAATTAATTATATTAGTAATTATTGATTCATACGTTGTGTGCACTAATGAATACATTTGAGAATATTCTCTAACCATAAGAATCTTAAATTCAATTAATAATAATATGCTTATGATTAGTGTTATACCTAATAGCAAAGAATGTACTGTAATCCGAAAATATGAGAAACAAAATGTTTATATTAATGGTGGAGATGGCAAATACTGTTCACAAATAACAAACTTGCTATTCAATATTTCACTATAATTGCAAATTCATTTCTGAGAATATCTATAAATAGTATTTCTTATATTGAAATTAGTAAACATTTTATTAAATGTGCAAATTTCATTTTATCATAATGAGAACATGATAACTGTAACTGTGCTTGTAACATAATTTTGTACATTTTCTAGTTATTATTATTTATTATCATTATTAATTTAATCCGCATCTGGTCATAAAATTATATAAATTATTTATTAATTACTTAATGATTAATTCATATATAAAATTCATATAGAGTTAAGTGATTTTAATTCCATATATTTTGAAAATTGCTATATTTCATGAAACCAACATATTTTGTTAATAAAGCTTGTTTCGCAAACCTTTATTAAAATTATTGGATAACAAAATATTTTATAAGTTCATAACAAATATATTAGAGATAGAGGAGAGAGAGAGAGAGAGAGAGAGAGAGAGAGAGAAGATTTAATTTATTGTATTTCTAATTAATTGTCAGGGGTGGATAGTTTGCTTCAGAATTATATAAATATATTATTTGATGCCAATAAATGCCTCAAAGGATAATAAACGCTAACAAATTGATTCAAAACATAAATTAATAATTAGTTTGACTCCATAGAGCACATGATGTTTGAATTTTACAATAACAACAAATTATTCAAATAGTTTTCACAATATTTCTAAAATTCCTTGTCTATTACATGGGAATTATAGTTTGTTTTATACTAAAAGTAAAATTTAATTAGACTTTTATAACGGAATAAATTTGTTAAATTTACGATTGTTTTCATAGCATTGCTTATTGCCATTTAAAATACTATTTTTAAAGTTTAATCCAATATTTTCGGTACATTTCAAACATAATTGTATGCAAATTACATGTATGTGAATAGATTTTTCCTAATAATAAAATTGAAATAAAATTATACGTCACAAGCACTTAGAAAATTGCTATTATATTGTTTACAATGTTGGACAAACATATTTGCATGAAAATCACTTCATTTTCATTCACATGTTTAAGATATGACACGAATTTCTTACTACTTTATAAACACGAATTCTGTGTACAAAACACCCCTCAACTCGATTCTGGTATTATGTCTACAGAATCGACAAAAACATTATTAAAGGAAATATAAATTTTATTTTATTAATCATTTGTCGCAAATTGTATCCCTTTGTCGCTGTTATGTGACCCGTATTTGTCATCATATGAAACGGTATTATAGAAACACAGAAAACAAATAAAAATTTCAAGAAAATTATTCATAAAATTTAATTTTGTCTAATATTTATAACTCATTGTAGCATTATAATTTTGCTTATTATATCTTTTAATTTATTTTTTATTTAGCAAATGTGATAATAAAATCTTAAATGTCTTAGGTTTACGATAATGTTTGTAAGAAAACAGATTTAAATGATATTTAAAAATCTATTTCTAAGACTATATTTAGTTTTTTTTGTTTTTTAAATTGGGTTTTGTTGGTAATAGCATTGTAAATATTTAAAAGTTTTGTAATGTATCGTAAGAATTGCAGAATTTATTATGTTGTTTATAAACTAATTCAAAAACTCACATTCAATCTCGTGTATTCAATTGAAGTGTATATTTTTTGAATTTAAATTTACCATTTACATTATAAATGGGCTCTTACTATGAAACAAATCGCAAGAATTTGAACTTCTTATGTGATACTTGAAAATTGAAAATTTTAAATCATAAATACATTTTACACAAAAAAGGGAATTTATTTTCTAAACAGGAATTATAAATTTTTCG